GGTGGAAGGAGAACAGTGCCTCTGTGCGTTAGGCAAGTGCACCCGCCAATGGAGAGGCACAGGCCGAGGAGGATAGGCCGGGGCTGTCTTTCGCTGCTCCGAGTGTGAGGACCGCTGGTGCACAGCGATCCCCTGACCTCTGGAGTGATTCTCCATGCCACGCGCACACATAGTATCTCATTTAACCAGCTCACAACCTGCGAGGCCTGTCTTGTTACTCCCATCGGACAGATGGAGAAAGTGAGGTTCCCACAGGCTAAGGACTGCAGGGTGACAGGGAACCCTGAGCTTGCCTGGTGGGACCTGTTGGCAGGCCTGCTTGTTTTCCTCCAGGGCAGAGAGGAGGCCGAGGGGTTGGTGTGAGAAAGAAAGATTTCGGGAGGGGGCAGGTAGAGTCCCGTGAACTCCTCTGACGTGGGCCCAGGGGCCAGGGCTCACCCAGGAGCCTGGAACAGAGGCCCCACTCCTGCCAGTGCCTGTGGACACTGCTGTCAGCCCCGGGGGCAGTGACACGCTTGAGGACTTGGTGCAAACACATTCACAGCAGCTCCTTTTGCCCCAGATCCGGAGGGTCCTGAGTTCCGGGAGTCTTCGCCCGCAGAAGGGGGACGAGTCGGACCCTCAGAATCACCCTCCGAGGCCAGAAGCCACGAGCCAGAAGGGAGACCTCCGCCGGACGGAGCGTGTGAATCTAGTTAGTACCACCTGCTCTCACCTGGGACGGTGCCCCGTGGACTTACCAGGCTGAGCCCGACTAGGGAGCCGGAGGGCAGCTGGCAACTGTCCAGGAGACTAGAAGGCAGGGAGGGGAGGGGAGCCGTTCAGCTGGGGCTGCCCAGCCCGAGTTGGAGACTGAGAGCCTTCTTCAGGCAGAGAACCCAGTCTATTCTAAGGGATGTAACTTCACCCCACCCCACACCATGGGTTTGCTCGAAGATTTCATTAATTCCCGGCTTGCTCCGGGTCCCATAAGGAGAGGTGTGCTGGCAAGCAGGCTGGGCGGAGGGCAGGGGTGGTGTCAAGCAGGGAAGCCCGAGCTGCAGCCTTTGCAGATTTCTGTGGTACAAATATCCCCACTGTGGCCAATTTCAACTGCTAGCAGTTGATAACCAGGGCCCACAGCCTCCCCGACAGTTTGCAATGAGCCCGTGGCCTGAGCAGCCCCCGCACACTGCTGCTTACAGCCTGGCCCATGGGGACATTCCCGCTCCATCCGTAGCCGGGAAGTCCCCTCCCCCTTTCTGGTCCCAGCTCCATTCCTGACCCTGCTGCTCTGAAGCCTGGGTGGGGACATCGAGGGCTCAGCTTTCGTGTATCTGTCAAGTGGCTGCGGGGGAAGCGTGGCCGCCCAAAGCCCCTTCTATTTCCGTAAAGCAACGGGGCCCAGCTCTCAGGCCCAGCGCTAGCTCGGGGACAGCGCCCCTCTGCCCTTCGCCACCAGCCTGTGCTGTGTGTTAGGCACAGTCGTCTGTGAGCCGCGTGTGACGGCACCACGTGCCCACTCTCCTTTATCTTCCAGAGGAGCTGGTCATCCAGCAGCTGGTGGCGCTCCTCCCAGGAGTGGACGGCCGTTTGGGGGAGCAGGTAAGAGCACTCAGTCCCCCCAAGGCCAGCCCCGGGGCCTCAGCAGCCCCCATCTCTGTGTCTGGGGGACCTTGGGCGTGTCCTTTAGCCTCTCTGAGCCTTGCTTTCCTCTTTTGCAAACGGGGGATAAATACCTACTTGGCCAAGTTTAGTGCATAGATAGAAAGTGCCACACAGCTAGCAGGTGAGATGCAGGTTAGTTCAAAATAATACGAAGCTCGTGTGGCGCCCTGCCAGCCCGACCACCTCCGAGTCCTCCCTGAAGCTCAGCTCAAGTCCCACCTCCCGGGAGCCTCCTTCCGAGTCCGGATGGATTTGATGGGGGAGGTCCTGGCACACTCTCAGCACCTATGTGACCTCCAGCTCGTTCAGGCTTTTAGATGTCCCTCCCCTGCTAGACAGCCTCTACGGACGGTTCCCTGCCCTGGAAACCTCCGTCTCCTCAGAGAGACACACACAGATCGCTCATGAAGGGTCATTGGTGGGAGCGCAGGTCGCAGATGAGTGAGTCGTGTGGCGGACGCTGTAGGTACCTGACCCCACCGTGTAGCCCGGCCCAAAGCGCCTGCATCTTTTGGCCTGAGGACTGGCCCCAGAGCCACTTTGCCACCCACGTGGTAGGTTAGAATGAACACCCCCCACCTCCCAAGAGCTGTCCTCCACCAGTGGCTGATGGGAGCTGGTGGGTGCACACCCCAACCCCTCGCTCCGGGGCTGGTTTCTTGAGTGCCCGAGGGGACTGTGTGGCTGCTCTCCCATCCGAGCTCCTCATTTCCCACCAGGGTTTCCCCAGGATCATTTCCCCATAAGAGAGCTGCACCCCAGACCTGTCTCTGTTCGCCCTAAGGCGGGGGGTGATGGGGGAATGACCCAACCTAAGACATTTAGGTAGTAAGAGGAGGAGGCGTAGGGTGGGAACTAAAATTCATCAACATCTAGGCCGACGCAACATTTTACATAAACCACCTCATCAACCCCTCGCCCAGATAATCAGGGCGGGGGCATCCGCCTCCCATTTCTACAGACCGAGCAGAGGCTCCGAGAGCTCACAGCGTAGGTGCGGTTACACCCAGCTGTCCGGCTCAAACACCTGCCCCTCGCCCCCAGGTTGTCCGGCTGTTTGCAGCGGGACCCGCAGAACAGATTCTGAGCGGCTGTGGGAGGAATGGAACCGGGAGCTTATCCCAGGGACAATGAGGCCCGCCTGGCTGCATGGAGTTGAGGGAGAGGCGGTGGGTGGGTGGGTCGCCTGCCAGCAACACTGATGGCTGCCTTCATTTCTGCTTCCAGATCAGGTGACACCCCAGCCTTAAGAAGTTTTTCTACCAGCTCCCGGACGCCTCCCTCAGAAAGCTGGCGGCCACCCTGCGCAGACGGGGCGCCTGCTCCCCTGAGCCCTGCAGGGGCCTCTCAGAGAGGCCTTACCAGTTTGCCTTCGACTTGGCCAACAAGTATGCGGGCAGGAATGGGCACAGCGCCCTCAGCCTGATGGGCCTGCGCTACCCCCAGCTCCCACACACGGAGGCCCCGCAGGTGAGACACCGCCATGTGGCGCGAGTGACGGAAAGGTTGACAAGGTCGGGGTCACGACGGGATCTACTCACTGTCCCCTCCCTCTCTGCCTAGTTCAGGACTTTTGGGAATCATTGATTGGCTGCCTCCTATTGGGGATCATGCCCACAACCCGGGGAAGGTGCCCTTGACTGGAATCGAACCCGAGACTTTCAGTCCGCAGGCCAATGCCCAAAATATGTTTTTTTAAAAATATATTTTTATTGATTTCAGAGAGGAAGCGAGAGGGAGAGAGGGATAGAAGCATCCATGATGAGAAAGAATCATTGATTGGCTGCCTCCTTTTGGGGATCATGCCCGCAACCCAGGGAAGGTGCCCTTGACTGGAATTGAACCTGAAACCTTCAGTCCGCAGGCCAATGCCCTATCCACTGAGCCAAACCGGCGAGGGCTTTAAATATGTTTTTATTGACTTTAGAGAGAGAGGAAGGGAGAGAGAGATAGAAACATCAACGGGAGAGAAACATCCACGATCAGCTGCCTCCTGCACGTCCCCTACTGGAGACCGAGCCCACAGCCCGGACACGTGCCCTGCCTGGGGATCAAACGGCGACTTGGCGCATGGGACAACACTCACCCAGCGGAGCCACACCGGCCGGGCCACTGTCATGCTTTTTGACATCAGCATGGGATCTGGGACTGGCTGCTGTCTTAGCTTACCCCCATATTGTTCCATGGGCTCTGCTGCGTGCTTCCCAATCGGAGACTGCCATAAAACTGAAGTAACGAAGCAGAGTAAGGCTGCATATCAAACAAGGGCTGGAGGAGTGAGCACCCGGGCGTGCTCCTTCACAGGCCTGGGTCCTTGGTTAAGACCCTCCCCTACCCCACTCCCACT